CATAATGTCGGGCCGGGACGTGATCTCACTCAAATGGTAAAACAAGGTGAAGAACCGAAAGTGACTGAGAATGGCAATGCCGGCCTCAAACCGCGCCATCGACCCGACAATGGTAAAGTAGCCCATGGTGAGCGTCTTTTCCAATCGGCTGACGGCAAGCATGAGGTGCGACGAGGATCCTTCGCGTGACTGTTCCAAAAAAAAATTGTGAGTAAATACAAAAAAGTTAAAGAAGAAAAAAAAAAAGGTAAAGGACATACCGGATCAAAACCAGCCAAGGCAGCAGCAACGTCATGCAACAGTCGGTTCTCGCGCAAAAAGATTTGGCCATCCGAGGAAGCCAACAAGCAAGTGACGAGCGAGTCCCCGATCTTGATGTACCGCACATTGTTGCGGTTCGATGGCAAGTCGCAAAACAGTCGCTTGGACGGACGAAAGAAGCTAGCCAGCCGCTTAAAGAACTTGGACGACCGCAGCACCTCGTCGACGCGGCGCGGGTTAAGCAGTGGGCCCTGTAGCAGCTCGCCAATCACGCCCCAGTCCCAGCGCGTGTACTCGCGCGACTTACCCGCCAGCACCCCCGAGTCGTTGAGCATCGCTCGGAACGCATTATCGTCCATCGCAAATCCCATTTGCACCTTCACTTGGTCGGTACGTTGCCGAGCACCGGCTAGTCCGCTGGTATTGACGGTGGACGGCGACGGCGACAGGCGCGATTGCGGGAACCCTGGTCGGCAGTTGTTGACACTCAGCTCGCTTGCAGGTCCGGCACCAAATGCTTTACCTGTGCCAGCAGCGGCAGCAGCGGCAGCAGCAAGGGTTGCTCCAGGAGCACCGGCGTCCATGGCAGCCGGCACCACGCCCGCCGAAACGTCAATGTGAGCCAATGCCGAGATGGCGCGGTGACGCACCGACTCGCGGCCGCGAAACACGGATGCGAGCTGAAAGAGGCCGGGCAGGCTCTGTACCTCCACGGCGAGTTTTTCGGGGAGCAAGCGGTTGCATAGCTCAATCAGAGCGCCAATCAGGCCCGTCGCACGCGCCACTACGGGCGGTGCACTGGATCCAATCAAGTCGATCAGCGCCTCAAATAGGCCCGACTTGACAAATACCAGCAGCAGCGCTGCCATGGTGTGGCCGTGCAAGTCGAGGCGCTCGGAGATCGTTGTGGACGGGGGTGGATTGTCCTCTAACCTGAAGATGGATGAGAGCAGGTTCAATACTGCAAGCTGTTCACAAGTATGTGAGTGAGTACAGTTGATATCGAGAAAGAAAAATGAACGACAATACCCGAATTTCGTCAAATGGAATGCGCAAAGAATCCACAATGGCGCGAATGACGAGCCGCCCGTTCTGCACAAGGTACACGATCCCCGTCCAGTGCCGCAATAGTGCCAAGATCGCCCGCGCCGCAGCCGCCAACCGCTCGTCGGTCGCGGACCCACGAGTCCCGTACGCGTCCGAGAAGGCCGCAGCCACGACCTCCACGTCAATTCCACGGCGAAAGTATGCCCGCGACTCGGGTGCATCGACCAGCACCAGCACCGACAGGGCAACGAACTCGGTGACTTCTCGGGGACAGTCGAGCAGGCCCGCACACACTGCACGGACTCCACCGGCCTGCGCCATTGCTGGGAGAAGTGGTGGGTGCATGGCCATTTCGCACAAAGTCTCGATCGCCATCAGCCGCATCTTGTCGTCTGGGTGTTCGGAGATGGCTACCAGTAGGCGCACCAGGGACGTGGTCACCAGCGTCGAATGGGTTGGGCCGAGCGCGTCTATGAGCGGTGCCAGGCCAGGTTCGGGGTTTTCATCATGTGTGATAGCCACATCGAGCCATTGACGAATGAGTTTGAGCGCCTGTTCCTTTTCTACTGGCCGTTTGGCCTCGCGCGTGAGTGTACTTTTTTATGCCAATGTGTCAGTTCATTTCTTCCAGTCTCTTGTGACGGAAATGACGAACCGAATGACGAACACGTCCACGCGATGGACAACCATGCGAAGAATCCGAAATGGAGAGGTGGAAAGCGCTCGCAGGCATCGGTATGCAGCGGCGCGCACAAGATCTCCGTGTGCCGAAAGGTACGGGATCACTCTGTTTTATTGGCTCAAGTAAATGTGAATAGTTGCCAAAAAAAAAAAAAAAGAGGAGCCCTTCCAAAGAATTGAACGTACGCATGGATCCGCGCTTCGTGGACCGCACCAGCAGCAGCGCCGTGACCAGACGACTCTTGGCGAACCAGGCGAACAAATTGGTCCAATGTTTCCAGTTGGATCTCCTCTAGTGGCGGTTTAGCGTGCAATGCGTCCAACACGCCGGCCAGAGTCTGGGTTTTGAGTGCTATGTATATAGAGACCAGGAGTGAGGGGCCAATTGGCCATTCATACACATGCAAGGTATATACCATGCATTTGCTCCACATTGCGGCGGAGGTGGTCAATGGACAACGGGGCGCTTTTACGGCGGCTCCCACCCCCCATGACTTTATCGGCGCTCGGAGTTCGTCGCACCGCATGCAGGAGCGGATCGTGCATGTCGGCACCAGAGGGCGTCGATCCCGAGCGCATGCGGACCTGGGGCTCTATTTGTTACATTTTTGGTGAATCGAGTATGATAAATGGTTTAAAAAATGGATTATATACCATCCAAGCCGCCGCGACGGGCCCGCGAGATGGTCAGCTGTTCCAGGAGCCGCGAGAGCTCGCCGATTTTGATGTTGGCGCGGGCGAGTTGCGCCATCACGTCGTTGCGGGGCACGGTGGAGCCCTTGAGCGAGCCCGACTGCGCCACCAGCAGCATGTTTTCGGCGCCGATGCGGATTTTGGTCTCGATGAGCAGTTGCCGGTTGATGTCGGCGATCTTATTTCATATTTTATACACCATGCGTATGAGTAAGTTTTTGGTGAATGGGCCAGCGTAAAAATATGATAATCACCTTGAGGTCAAGGGCATCCAGGGGCATGGTCAAGGGATCGACAGCTGCATTGGCTGCAATATTCGGACTGGCTCTCGCATAAGGGACCAGTGGCGGCGGTGGCCCAATTGGCGGCGGCGGCGCCATTGAGAAATTTTCGTAAATTTTTTTTTTTTTCACTGCGCTTCGAGGAGACAACTCTCTTTCCTTGGCGGGATCCCACTGGATTGATCTTGAATTTATATGGCCGCCACTACAGCCCACCGCTTCGAGTTCCTAGTCTCGCGTAGCTTCGACATTGCGCTGGCAGTCTCGGCCGCAGCCCTCGGCTACTTTGCCCACGAGCGCGAAACATTCACGTCGCCCAACGACCGGCTCCTGCCCCTGGCCCGCGAGCACGTGCTGCGCGTGCACCCTGCCACTTTTGGCCGGGCCTGGATCGCGTCCGAGACCGCTCTGGCCGCCGTGGCTGCGCGTTTGCCGCGGTTACCGGAACGAAAACCCCTTGTTGGTTCCGATGCTGCGACGAATGGTGTAACGACGAGCAGCAGCGCAGAAGAGGATAAAGAGCTCGCGGACATGCTCTCCGCGGTCATAGCATCGGCCGCCGCTGCTGACAACAACGGCGTCGACGACGACGCGAGGCCGAGCCACCACCAATAAAAGAGTTCTCTTTGTTTATCCTGTGATATGACCACCGCAATACGAGCCACGTACGCGCACTCGTCCGGGGATATCGCGCGGCGACTGGCAGCCGGTACGCTCACACTCCGCCGCGCCGAAATCGACCTGGCGTACCAAACCGGTCGAGTGAAAAACGATTCCAACCTTCAAAAGTCTCTGGACGAAATCCAAGCCCGCGCACAGACACTTCGGGACGCGTTCACACCGCAAGAACTGGCGCTGGCTCAGGCCGACCTTGGTGCGGTGGGCCTCCCGACTCTGGCACGATTCATGGACCGCGGCGAGGCGCTGGGCGTGCTGGGGTGGTCTTTGTCGCGTGTCCCACACTGGCCGCCGTTTGACCTTCAATTTTTGGTAAGTGAACAACCAAGAGTTGGTGACGTGCTCAGAAGTAGCGAGGAGCTCACACACACAGTGCTGGCGACGGAACTGTGGGACTGGCGCGCACGGGCTCGCCCGTACGAGGAGATGCGCGATCGCCACCGCACCGTCACAAGAAAAAATGACCGCGCAATTGCAGACCACATTGGCATTGGCATTTACGCCACGGTGCAGTATGCGCGCGCTCATGGCGTCTTGCCACCAGGTTCTTGCACTGATTTCGGCATTGGTGGCGGTGGCCAAGAAAATGAGCGGCCGTACGCGAGCGCGACCAAGCAAGAGGCGCTCGTGATGTACCGGATCGCCAAGCAGCGGCTGGCGGCGTTTGGATGGCTGGTCGCGGACCGGGACTGGGACACGCCGCTTGAGCGCGTGGAACCCGTCCTCGCTGGTTCGAGTAGTTGTTGGTACTATATACCACGTGATAGTACGCTATAAAAAGTCGCATGATCAACACCCCTCCATTCTCTTTCAAAAAAGAACGCCATCAAACTTAAAGAAAAAAATGTTTGGACAAGCCCCTACCCCGGAACAGTTGGCCGCTCAGCGCGCACGCGTCGTCTACACGTTGGCCGTCTTTGCTGGCGCCATTGCTGCCCTGCGTTTTGGTATTGTCTCTTTGCTATTATTATTTTTTCTGCACGGCCGAGGATTATACTCTTTGTGTTTAAGACCCGCACTTCGTGGGGTTATCCAAATCTGATTTAATGAGCATGAGGCCATCCGCGAGGTTTTTTTCAGTCGACCCATGCACCCATTTCGCTAATATTTATGTACTTGCTTGCGCAGGTCCGATTGTTGTGGAGGCGGCCAAGGAAGCGTTGTAATTCTTTTTGAGCGACGTTGCGGCCTGACTTTAAATGAATAATCTTACCGTTGGGTGCTTTGTCTTGCGTAAGGCATTGCGCTCTTTCTCTTCGGAGGGGACGGCAGCTACAAAAAACAAAAAAAAATCTCCGATTTCCCGTCACCAGGAACCGTGGATCTGGGCCAACAGTATACGGAGCTTAGAAACGCCATGGCCCCGTAGCTCAGTGGCTAGAGCGTCCCTCTCCTAAAGGGAAAGTCGAGGGTTCAACCCCCTCCTGGGTCGGTTTTGAATCCTTTTTACACAAAAAAAATACTATTTATACTTTACTCGTCGTCGCTCCAATCGTCAGGAACGGGCCGTTTGATTGCTCCTCCTTCTTGGCTACTTTGAGTCGCGATGATTCCGGCCGGACGCACTACAATATCTTCGGTGGTGGCACTGCTAGAAGCACCCCCAGCCTCCCACGCGGTAATGGATCCGTCCTCGGCGGCACTCCATGCAACCCCGCGTCGAGCGCTCCACACCACCTGCGTGACGGGCGCCATTCCCTCTGGTTCCAGGACCCGCGATGCGCCAGTTGACGGCATCTCGTCTGGACCAGCAACAGCGATCGAACGCAGATCAGCGGCCTGGTCCCGCAAATCAAACGCCAGCACGTGCCGCCCCGACGGAACCAAGCAGTACGGCCGTGTGTGTTGTCGAGGCGACTGGTGGGTCAGGGCTGGAATGGTGGCCCGGCTACCCGCGTGCGCGGTGCGAGTGGATGCGGTCATCACACACTCGTGCAAGTCCCATACTTGCACGCGGCCGTGGTTCAGGTGCGCGACCGCGTAGGTCCCACCCGGAGCGACCGCCAAACCCGTTATGACGGGGACACGCGCAGTGGCGGTAGAGGTCTCGGATGCGGTCGGGTCGGTGGTCAGGGTTGCGAGGTGCGAGCGCGCTTGACGGGCGTCGAACATGCGGATCGTGCCGTCCGCACTGTTGTCAAAATGGTTTGATTCTGGTCATAATACGTGGTGAAGCCATATAACGTACCTGCCGCTGACCAGCAAGTGATCATCGCACGGCACCCATGCGACGGCCGTGACCGATCGCGTATGTCCACGAAGTACCTGGGCCGCCGATCCAGTCCGCACGTCGCACAGCCGCACGTGGTGGTCCTCGGTTGCCACAGCCACTAACGCGGTCGGAGACGCCGACAGTGCGGCGACGCGAGACTGGAGCTTGAACTCGGAAACGTGCTGTGTTTGTCGTTCACTATTTTAGTGAATCACTGGCGTGTCACATATGATCAGATATATATAATAGGTACCGCCATCTCGTTCGTGTCCCACACCCGGACCGTCTCGTCCACAGACCCGGTGAAAAACATGCCCGAGTCCGATGGAAACCACGCCACCGCCGTGACCGCGTGGCGGTGTCCAGCCCCCGCCGCCACCTCGGCAATCGGCCGAATGCGGCCCGAGATGCTCATGCGGGCCGAGATATCGTCAACACGGGGCCGAGTGTCCCACAACGCAATGCGGCGATCCAGGCCCGACGACAGCAGACTGTTGGATTGTTTCCTGTGTGTTGGCAAGTCAAGTCCATGCAAGAACACATAAAAAAAAAGAAAATGATAGCAACTAGCGATGGTCCGTGTGCTCGAGCGCTAGGCACACGCACGCGGCCTGGTGGTGCGTGGCCATGGCGTTGGTACGCGACAGCGTCAGTCGCGCCAAGTGTAGGTCGTGCAGTGTGCGAGAGATCGGACGCGACGGGTGTGCGGTGGCGCCTATCGCCCTCGCTGCCAGGAATCTTGCCAGTCCAAAGTTGTTATGGTCGTCGTCGTCGTCCTTCATTTTCCTTGATTCGGCGATGGGAAAGAGAGGCATAATTAATGATGGGAAATACTAGAATACAACAATCCAATTCAGACCTGCTTGAACGGCGACCAGATCCCGCGCACGGCCTTGGTGGTGGACGTGACGCCGCCGCGCACCGGGTGCTTGTTAAGCGCGTCGGCCGCGTCCGTCAGCAGCCGCAGCTGCTTGCGAATGTCGGTCGGGTCGAGGTTGCGCAGACTGAGCACCTTGTCGCGTCCGGACGCTGTTTTATTCCATGTCTTCAGTATGTAGAATACTCTTTATAGGCATGAAATGTAAATTACCAAAAGTGCCCGTGGCAAGGGGATGCTTGGAAGGCCGCGGGGTCACCACGATCTGAATGTGCGGGTGCGCGGCCGCAAACTTGTGCAGGTCCGACTTGAGGAACTGGATGGCCCCGCGCGACGACCCGGACCGCTCGCAGTACTCGAGCTTAATCTTGTGGATGGCCGGCACGTACATGCCCATGCCGTTCTTGAACGCAGGGACGGGCAGCGACCTCTTGACTGCCCTTGCGGTTGTTGCAGATGCTTTTGCGAGCGCAGACGTGGTCATGGACCGGGCTCCCAAGTACGAGGACATGAATTGGAATATTACGCGTCGCGTTGATTGGAAAAGAGAACAAATATTGTTGCTTTCTTCCGAAACTGATAATGCTGAACTC